CCAAAACCTCGCAAATACTGCATATATCAACCTGTGGTGGTCCAAACTTTAAATCATACTGGTTTTTATAATAATTAAAAATTAGTTATTTTTTTCTCATTACAATATTAAGTGGTTGACTAATTGATGGCGTACTATGTAATGTAAAATAAAACACGTCACAAATTCTTGTAGCATATTCAGTTGTTATTAACAGTGTGAACAATTCATTTATAATGAATTTACCTTGATAATACAATAATATTTTTTCATTTACATTACACGTATACAACTTTCTATATGTCAGTCTTCTTACTAGCTTAATAATTAATTTTTTCAATAAATTTATCGGTGAATTAATTTATCAATTTAAAAAATTCATCATTTTAAAAATTAAAATTAAAAAATAATTCTTCAATTTTATTTTTGTTTGGATGAAAAAATATCTTTTCTGATTCATCGTTCCGAAATCCATAATAATTATATGTTTTTAACGTACTTTAAATAAATAAATATAAATATAAATAAATAATACATTGAAATGATAGTTTTTAATGTTATAAGGGTCATTCATATCTAATTCGCCTTATATACGAAATATTATATATTACGAAGTTAAGAATAGACTTTTATTTTAATTATTATAATCTTATTAAGTTCTAGTCCATAACCAGAGTTGAGTATAGACACACAAAATCAAAACTAGCTAAAATAAATATGATTTTAATTTTAGTAGGTTTAGGTTCAGATAAAAATAATTTAATTAATTTTCATCAGGATGAAGATTTTTTTTATCAAACTAATAAGATAGATATTTAACAAGACAATCCTTAAAATTTCAATAAATTCAAATTAATTAATAATCACGATAGAAGGTGATTTTTTACAGAAATATTATAGTTTTTGTTCAATTTCAGCATGCATTTGCACATGGAAGATAAGGTGTCAGAACAAAATATTTTTTCATTTATAGTATAAAATGTAAGTGATAACATTTAATATATGTTTAAACGACGCAGTATATCCAGAACATTTTCAAAAGTAAAGTTGGAAAAATTGACTTTTGTAAAAAGTTTCTATTTTCAATCTCCCTTGTGGGCATGTAAATAGTCAAATTAAAAGAAAAATTATTATGACTTATGTTAGTTTATGAAAAAGTTATAGTAGTTTTAAGAAAAAAATTTTTAAAAAAAACTATTGGCGCACATTAAATGTTTTCACAATGAATACTCAGCAATTGTTATAAAAAATACAAGAATAACTCAAATATTCGCAACAATTACTTTTTTTTTTTGTATTTTTTTACTGAATGGTTTTATTTTAAAGTAATTAAAGTAATGATATAATATAATCTTAAATCTCAATACACCATATTATCTTTGTTAAAAATATTTAAGACAAACTAATTTTTTTGTTATGTATTTCATAAAAATAAACAATTAAACAAAAAAAAATAGTATTTATTTTAGAAAAGTATCATATTATATTTTTATTTATTATATTTTTAAAGTATCATATTATATTGCTATAAAATTTAACAAATTTCGTGAAAAAATTAGAAAAATAAAATCAAGATCAACTATAAATAAATATATACATTACAGTAAATTCATTCAAAATCACGATGAATTTCTGAATAAAATAATTTATATAAATTTATAGACCAGTAATTTTATAGGAGTAAATAATATCAAAAATTGGAAATTGCTTGTTAATAGAACTATTTTTTAGATAAAATTATAAAAATTCTTTAATTAATGATATTTAAATGGGCTATTAAAGATATTTAAAGTTTGATGTTGTATTTAATAAAATACAAACGAATAAATATAATTATTTTAACCAGGTAAATTTATTATAAATGAATGGAACACACTGTTAATAATTTTTAAAACTAAAACCGAATCAACAATTTGTGATGTGGTTTATTTTAAATAACATAGTACGCCATCACTTAATAAACCATTTATATTTTCAATGAGAAAAAGTTTTTATAATTTTATTAAAATTTAATTGCTCGGCATACGTATTTTAAAATAATTACCGTGTTTTTAATAATTACGAAATAAATCTTCTACGACCTAATAAAAATGAATTATTCTAGTATATTCATATTTTTCTTATTATCTTTAGCAACTAATGGTCAACCAAAACAAAAAGGTAAAACATTTACAATTAAATTTTTAAACTCATTTTTACAAAGTAGCAAGTAGGACTACATTGCAAAAACGCCAGTTTTGGTCTACCAAAATAAAGATGTATTTTGTACTGATGAACTATTGTTTGATAAAAATAATTGTTATAAAGGAGCCAACGTTAATTATAGGAATGTTGAAGAAAAACTAAGAAAAACAATATTGCTTATTAATAGAGAGTACACTATTAGTTTATATATCTATAAATACAGCAAGTTCAAATATAAGTAATTAATATTCATTTTGTATTCGATATTGTTTATTAATAATAGAAATATTGGTCTGGGTTAATTAGAACTTTTGTGTTGAGGCACTGAAATAATACAAAATAATGTATCTATAAAGTTCCCAAATTCTTGAATATTTAATGTAATCCGGTTATGAAAAACTTACCATTTGAAATTTAATTTTCACTACAGATATTAGTATGCTACGTTTGCTAAATATTTGAGCTTACTTAAAAAGATGTTCGTAAATGAAAATTACTTGCTAATCAAATTTTAATAAAACTAGAAATAAAATCAATCCACCAAGAACTTAAAATAATAACTAAATCTGTAGTAGATCTAAGTAATGAACATGATGATACATATTAATAGTATTGAAAACTACGACGAAATGAATAAAAAACACGTCTTTATATAGATGAAATAAAAAATAATAATAAGAAAAATAAATAAGAAAAAATTATTTTTATCTGAACTTAAACTGATTATAGGGCTAGATCTTGATAAGATTATACTATTTGAAAAAAAAACGGTAGCACAGTGGGGTCGAGGCACAGTGTGGACGAGGCATAGATGAGATAAGTATAGATGATATCTGACAGTGATTAAAATCACTATCATAAGAAACGCTTCGATGCAAATCTGTAGATAGTGTTTCCTTTAGAGAAATTGGTGAAATATTTTAAAAGCAACATGAACTCTTATTTCTTTAATTATATCCTGATTAGTAGTTCTTTGATTTTAAAATATAATATATGAATAAATACTAATTATAGTTTTTAAATTTAGTATGAAATTGTGAGGCCAGCTATGATGTATGGTTCATAGTGTTGGGCGGTTGATAAGAAAGTAGAGCAGAGAATAAGTGTAGCAGAGATGAGAATGCTTAGTTGGATGAGTGGAGTGACTAGAGAAGATAGGATAAGGAACGAGCATATAAGAGGAAGTATAGGTGTTGCGTCAATCGTGGATAAGATGACAGAAAATAGACTTAGATTGTTTAGTCATGGTATGAGGAAAGAAGAATCGAAAGCTGTAAGAACAGTTATAGAAATGAATGTTGAAGGAAGAAGAGATAGAGGAAGACCAAAAAAGAGATGGAGGGATGCTATTGAATGCGATTTGAGGACAGCTGATGTGAGCGTAGAAGATGTGGGAGATCGTGTCAAGTGGAAGCTTAGGATAAGGGTGGCCGACCCCAAGTAGTTGGGATTAAGGCAAAGAAAAAGAAAAATATTACCAGATATTCCGGTGGCAATTGACATAATATGATTGTTATTTCGGAATGTACAATTTAGCGTTTAGTTGGGTTTAAATAATATAGCGTCAAATCAATTACCTACTCTATCGGTTGTATCTCAATATACACTACACTTTAATGATACAATAAATAAATAAACTCACACATACACACATATGCATTTATAACATTGTGTCTAATGTAAGTATAACATGATAAAAAGTAACCGTAAAATGAAAAAAATGGAATATAAATTTTATTACTCATATTAAATGTAATGTAACTCGAAAAATATTTGTTTAAATGAAAAAATATAAGATTATATTTTTATTTATAATTGTCTTTTAAACAACTTTTGTGCGAAACTTTTTTTTGTAAGTTAAATATTTTTTTTTGAGAAAATTAAGAAAGCTCATATTTTTGAACTTTTGCGAGGATTTAAAAAAAAAGCTCAATTCCAATCTTGAGGACTATTAGTATGTCATTATACATATTTTAATTCAACTTTTAAAAAAACAAAATTTTTTCCGCAATTTTTCCTTTGTTGACAGGCCTAGATGTCAATTTTAAACTTGTAATTGAGCTAAAAGTTATGGTAATATATTCAATTTATTTTACTATAAACTTTCATAAATCTTTATCAAAAATTTTTCATCAACTTTAAAGAACCAAAAAAATAGGTTAAAATTGAAAATTTGGACTGATTATTTTTAACATATTAAAAATCAAATCAGTAATAATTTGAAAACAAATTTTTTTTTCTTTTAATTATTATTTTATATATATAATTAGTAATAATATAAAAAATTAGAAGTGATAGAAATAGTCTACTTGCAGATTTGAAAACAACGCGAAAATTTGATTTAGAAAAGTATATTTTTGCTTCTGATGAAAGTTCCTTGTAGTCCAGTGCATTTTTTTATAGTAACAAACAGTTTTTATTGAAAATTATTGTATCAAGCCCTTTAAATTTTTATACACGTAAAAGTAAAGCAAAATATAACTTCTTTATTATTTTTATAATTTCTCCGTTTAAATTACAATATTAAATATCAATTTCATACTAAATTTAATAATTATAATTAGTATATATTCATATATTATATTTTAAAATCAAAGAACTACTAATCATGATATAATTAAAGAAATAAGAGTTGATGTTGCTTTTGGAATAATCCACCAATTGCCTAATTAAAACAAAAAAAAAAAAAGTTTGTTGGGAATTTTTTCTGCTATTCTGCAAAATTACTCCTTCGTTGACTAGAATGAATCATTAAATAGAAAATTTTATGAGAATTAAAACAATGTTATTTTTAAGATTAATATGCAGTCAGAAAGTTTTATAATTATTATTTATTGTAAATTTATCAGAAAAACTCATTATTTTTTGCATTTTTATCGTAATAGAACACTTAAATAGAAATCATAGTAATCATTTCTAAGTAATTTTTGATATTTAAAAAGATTCTACTATTGAAATATCCAGAACTGAATTAATTTTAATGATTTACTTTAACTAAAAAAAAAAAAGTTAATATTTTGAATCCCTCTTGTGGGCAGGTAAAGGGTTAGATTTATAAAAAAAACCAAATGATAGATAAAGACATGCATCTAAATAAAAAAAAATATACTGATTTGGTCATTTTTGATAAAGTTATAACAATTAACAAAGTTATAAGTTTTATACACTGGACTACAAGGAACTTCCATCAGAAACAAAAATATACTATTCTAAATCAACTTTTCGCGATGTTTTAAAATGTGCAATTAGACTTTTTCTATAACTTCTAAGTTTTAATATTATTAAAAAATAGTTTTTACATATAAAAAAAAATAATTAAGAACAAAAAAAATTGTTTTAAATTAATACTGATTTGATATAATATTTAATATTAATTTGATTATTAATAAGTTAAAAATAAGGAAAATGACATATTTAACCTATTTTGTTAATCGTTTAAAGTTGATTGTTGTAAATGTTTATAATAAAAAAAAAAAATTTATTTTACCATAACTTTTAGCTCAATTGGTAAGTTTGACATTGACATAATTAAATAGAAAATTTTATGACAATTAAAAAAATTGTATCGTTAAGATCAATATGCAGTCAGAAAGTTTTATAATTACTATTTATTGTAAATTTATCAGAAAAGCTCAATATTTTTTTGCATTTTTATGGTAATAGATAACTTAAATAGAAGTAATAGTAATAATTTCCTAGGAACTTTTGTTGTTTGTTGAAAAGATTCTATAATTGAAATATTGAGAACTTAATTAATTTTAATGATTTACTTTAACTAAATGTACCAATCAAAACAAAGTTGTTAAAAAGATTTACTCAATTGAGTGTATTATAAAATTTGATTATATTTGTAAAAATCAATTGTTAATTCAGGAGAAAAAACAATCATTTTTTTTAGAAATGATTTATATAGCAACATGTTACAAAAAAAAATTGTAATATTATAGTCTAGTAGTAGCACACACAAATAGAGTAAAAAAATTATTAAATTACAAAGTAAAATGATTTAATTTTGTAGTTGAAACCTATCATATCAAACTTCATTCGTTAATAAATATTTTGAAAACATTAGAAATTAATGATTTTAATTGTCTTTATGGAGACGATGTAATAACTAACTGTTTAATTGATAAATTAGAATTTTTTTTTCAATTTTTGAGAGTAATATCTTCAACTAGATACGAATTGTAGTAATTTGACGTATTGTTGAAAAAAGTAGGTCAAGTTAGAGCAGAGAAAATAAATGATAGTCACAAAAAAATATCTTCTCGGCTTTGCATCGAAGCGAAAACTTAAAATATAGTAAAATAATTTTAATACGAATAAGAAATTTCTTCTTGCAAGGGGCGACTAAAGTGATGGGATCCTTGATCTTTATTGAAGTTATTGAATCTAAATGTGATAAAAATCAAACGAGTTAAAATTTATACTAACTTAAAAAGAATTAAGAAAAAATGCAAAAAATTCATTGCCATATGCGGGTTGGAACCTCGTACCCCAAGCGTGTAAAACATAAATTTTACCAACTCGGCAACCGTACGTTGCTTCCGGCGGTTGAAAAATTGGCTATTTAAGCTAGTTCAAATTTCAAAGTTATTTTTCTCGACTTAAAAGAAACAAACATATTTAAATAAGTTTAACTATCTATACTATATCAATTTTAATTTATATAATATTTATGAAAATCTGTACTCCCCTTGTCAGGTATTTTAAAATAAAATAAAATACAAAACCCAGAATTTTAACACAAAAATAGCATATTTTTGCATACGGTAGTCATTTTTACCATGAAGACAAATCCAGAGGTCAAATTTTTTTTTTTCACATTAAAGTATATTACATAAGCTTTAATTTAAGATATATTTAAAAGTGTCAGTATTTCCGGAATACTTTCAAAAATTAAATTGAAAATATCGTAGTAACAATACGCATGTTTAAAGTTTTGACCCCCCTTGTTAAAGGGGTATGATCCGATTTACAAAAAAAGCGTGCCAGATGAAAGGGGTATATCAATATTTATTATAAAAAAATAATAATATAGATCCATACATTTTTCCAAAAGTTATATAAAATATAAATTAAATAATATAACATATAAAATCGAGATTTTTTTCACGGAAATCGTACGTTTTTCTTTAACTTTGATGTCCGTTTTCACCACGAAGACAAGTCCAGAGGTCAAATTTTTTTTTTTCAAATTAAAGTATATTACATAAGCTTTAATTTAAGATATATATAAAAGTGTCAGTCTTTCCGGAACATTTTCAAAAGTTAAGTTGAAAAAGTTCTACTTTCTATACGCATTTTAAAAGGTTTGCACCCCCCCTGTATAAAGGGAAATGGTCCGATTTTAAAAAAAAGTATGTCGAATGAAAGAAGTATATATAAAGTATTTATCATTAAAGAATAAAGTTGATTCATGCATTTTTTAAAAAGTTATAGCAACATAATGTTAAAAAATGTAAAATATAATATCAAGAATTTTTTCACAAAAATAGCATATTTTTGCATACGGTAGTCATTTTCACCATGAAGACAAGTCCAGAGGTCAAATTTTTTTTTTTCAAATTAAAGTATATTACATTAGCTTTAATTTAAGGTATATATAAAATTGTCAGTCTTTCCGGAACATTTTCAAAAGTTAAGTTGAAAAAGTTAATTTTTTGTAAAAAAGTTACCATTTTGAAACCCCATCCTTTGGGCTGTTAAAGGGTCAAATGTTCACAAAAATATATAAAATGATAGGTAATTATCTAAGGTATCTATAAAAAAAAAAATTATATTGATTCGGTCATTTTTAAAAAAGTTATGGCAATTTTAAGTAAAAAAAATTGAAAAAATATCGAAAATTAGCGATTTTTAAATTTGTAATTTTTTGGGGGATTTCCCCCGTTTACGGGGAACGAGGGAATTTTTTTCAATTTTTGAGGGTAATGTCTTCGACTAGATACGATTTGTGATCTTTTGACATATTGTTCATCAAAATCGGTCCAGCGAGAGCTGAGATTGAGCGTTCACAGACACAAAAAAAAAAATAAAAAAAAAATAAAAAAATAAAAAAAAAAACACATCATAGTAAAATTAATACCTTCTCAGCTTCGCATCGAAGCTAAAATATTCACTGTAAACTTCGTAGTATAAAGAGCTACCTAGTTGCATTTTTAAAATACGTTAAAAACATTTTTTTACTACAAATTTTGGTTCGATGATTAAGAAAATATAATTTTTCATCTAATCAAAGATATAATAGACGAATTAGTTTTTAATTTTGAATTTTAAAATAATGACTTTTATAAATTGAAAAATGAATATAAATTTATTGGAATAAATAATTATATAGCTAGTCAGAAGACTGACATTTAGAATGTTGTATATGTATAATGTAAATGAAAAAATATTATTGTTTTATCTATGTAAATTCATTATAAATGAATTGTTCACACTGTTAATAACAACTGTACATGCTACGACAATTTGTGACGTGTTTTATTTTACATTACATACGCCATCAATTAATCAAACCATTTAATTTTGCNTTACATACGCCATCAATTAATCAAACCATTTAATTTTGCAATGAGAAAAAAATAACAATTTTTTTAATTTTAACTTCATTACATGACATACGTATTTTAAAATAATAAGTGTATTTCTCATTAATTACACATAAAATCAATTAATCAGAATGAATTATAATATCTTTATATTTATATTGGCTGTGAACGTATCGAGTGAACACAAAAAGTATGATAAAGGGTATGCAATTAACTTTTTAAATTCATTTTTAGAAAAAAGCAAATGGAACATTTTATCATGGCAAGAGGGAGGAGTGTATGACCATTTAAGCAAGTGTTGGATTTTCTTGTATCAACTATTATTTAAAAAAAATAATTGTTGCCAAGATTACATCGTCAGTAAAAAAAATGTTAATCAAAAATTAAGAGAAATTATGTTGCTTATTAATCACGAGTACACGATAAGCTTAGTATGGATTGTGAATCACATAAGACACATTGCTGTGAATTGTATTTGGAAAAAAATGTGGTATCCTTTAGAAGATCACACGCATTGTGTGAATTTATTATTACCAAACATAGAAAATTCCAAAAAACTCATTATACGTTTTATTAGTGCAATAAATTTCCTGATGAAATTGTTAAATATCAAAACCAACCCATTTATTTTAGATGAATTAATAAAATTTGTTGGAGTGATAAGCAGAGAAATAAATGAAAATGACAATTCATATGTAGACAAAATTGAACGTATATTCAAAGAGGAGTACGAAGGGAATAATTGTAAATTGAACAATATAGTTCGAGACTATTGCATTAATCGAAGATATACTAGCGTAATTTATATTGATTTCGATCTTGATAATTATAAAAAGAAAAATCATTTACCTAATACGTTTGAAATGTATGAATTTGTAGAAGTTACCTTAAGAAATGGTATTCAGGATAAGGAGAAAACATTATATACTAATCTGGGCTTTTTTTATGACAAATTAAAAAATGAAACTACTTATGTTCATGAATTGGTAATTGTAAAGAGAAAAAAAAAATTGTTTTGTTTATAACTGTTAAATTGTTATAGTCAATTTTTCTCTAACTCACGATTTTTTATACATATGAATATTAAAAAATAAAATAAATTTATAAAGAATATATTCATTGTGTTTAGTTAGCTATTTATACTGTATCAACATTTTGTCAGGTTTTGAAATAAACACATATAAAATGAAATTTGTTACTTGTAATAACATACCGTATAATATTTTTAACTATTTCATTCTGCTTTAATGATTTATAAAGTTATATAGTCTATTTAATTTCTCGAGAGAATGATTTTATTTTTAATAATAAGATTGTTTTGAATAGAACAATAATAATGCTGCGTATTTCATTAAAAATATAATTTTAATGATGCACGTATATTTTTATTAAATAAATATATTTTATAGAGGGATACTGTGGCTGAGCAGGTTACGGGCAGCTTCAATTGTCAAATGAGACATTAGATAATTGTACTTCCCATCCGTCTATCCGCGTGACGAGCTAACTACCCGTCCCAAAGTATAAATGGTTAAGAAACCCCCTCCTTTGGAGAAGGCCGCAATGGGCCCTTAATGGGCTGATAAAATGATAATCAAAAAAAAATAAATATATTTTTCATTAAGTGAATGATACCTATATTCGTTTACCACTAACTATTCTCTTGGCGGTACAATACTTGGTCGTCTATCTTGCATAAAATAGTTTTAGTTTATTCATTTATTTACCTCTCCTTTCATCATCATATTAATGAGTGAATGAGTCGAAAAGAAATTTCTGACTTTGCTGCATTAANATGAGTCGAAAAGAAATTTCTGAATTTGCTGCATTAATATTAATTATAACTACATGATTCTATTCCTGTACGAGATGAATTAGATATAACAACGTTAATTTCTTTCCATAGAAATGTCAATCTATTTATTATTAATTACCTTCTCATTGGATTCAGAACTTATGTCTAAAATTGATGTTCGAGTCCTTATCCATGCTACCAAAAAACCATTTCTCCATGCTCCGTTGAATAAACAGTTTTAATTCTAAGGCCACTATCTTAAAAATTAACTGTAAATTAAATATTACGTATATATGGGAAAACTATTTTTCATTTATTATTATAAAATTATTATTTTCATGATTCACTTGATTATTAGGTTTGTAATTCTGATTATTTTTTATGTATCATTCACTATAACTTTAAATAATTTAAGTACTACTTTAGTATAAAAATGCTCTGCCGGTCGTCAATTTGAAATACTAAATAAATATTTTTCAAAGTTTCTCGCGCATTCTCACCATAACAAGATTGACACGGTCCGTAATAGCGCACTACTCATTTACAGTGAATTAGCACGTTATCCGGTCGTGATTATCAGCTGTCACCGTCGCACTCATTAGTGTTGACCATAACACCAGTTTGTCTTAGCCGGCTGTCGGTAGACAGGACAGGTCAGGGGTGCAGCACCGCGAGACACGTCGGCGACTATGTAAACTAGTTCGTCTGTGACTTACATCCGCCGTACGTGCCGTGCGATTTTTCATCAGCGCCTTATTGTGTTTTATTCGCACCTTAATGTTCACCAGTTTTTATAATATTATTATAACTTCAAATAAAACAAATCGACTCCATAACGGTATTACGTTTATTATTATTAAATACCTTTATACTGTGTCAGGATTGAAAAATATTTTATATATTTAGACACTTTTAAGGCGACGATATATTAGCCAGATAAATCCCGTTGCTTGTGCATTGAATAGATGCGACACCACAAACACCAAGACTAAAATTATCTCTGTTCATTACTATGCACGGTCTGCCAATGCAATATTTGTAATATTCAATTATTCTATATAAATTAAATTAAGAAATAACAACAGTCTACCTACTCGATAAGAAAACAAAACAACAGTTCTTTACTATTGAATGGACATTTAATAGTTGGATTAAATTTATTGTTATAATAAAATAATTTTAAAAAAATTGCATATTTTAAATATTTCCATAATATGAAAAAAAACGTATTTACGTTAAGAGCAAAGAAGTTTAAATTAAAAGATTCAAAAAAAAAAAAATTTTAGAGACAAATGGCTAATGAAATAAGAATTCAATATCAGTTCAGATTCTTTAACAAATTCTGGTTTAAAAAAAGGATGGAGCCAATAATGGAGTAAGGTGCTTGTCATTGTTAAAATAGCGACTGATTGATCTATTGCGCCCCACATTTATAACACATAATTCTAAAATAAAATATATATAATAATTATTATATTTCTAAGTATTATTTATATAAAAATTAATTATTTGAAAATACATACCATAATTGTTATTCCCCATCTGCTAAACAAATATTTTTGTTTAATACCTGACACGGTACCGTATATTTTGCGATACGTTTAATACACGGTCACATCGTCCTATCCATCAGCCGCCTTATTACATCGCGAGCCCAG